AACAAATTGAATATCTAAATTAACCTTGTGCCATGTTATTTTAACCTCAACGTCTTCTTTTTTTTGAATCTCCACTGAATATTTTCCGGAAATATTAGTCTCATCTAATTGAACTTTTTTGGTAGTTTCTAAAGATGTGGTTTTATTATCCCACTTTATAATTTCAGGTAAATTTCCTTTAACTCCTGCATATTCTGCTTTTATATCGACATCAAGTTTATCCAAAAAAGCTATCTCCTTGCTTTTATTAAAAGACCAAGATGTGACATTTGGCATTTTCTCTGATAAGGTAACTCCTAACTTATTACAACCATGCGATTGATTCCTTGAAGTAAAGATACTAAAAGAATCTCTAGTTGTATATGATTCTAAATCATTAATCTTTTCGTCATATTTAAAATCTTCAATCTCAACCTTGAATTGATAATCGGCAATTTCAAATTTCCACAACTGTCTTGAATAAAAATGTTCATTTGGTTGGTTAAAATGTGATGAAAAGTGAACAGTTGAATATCCACCCCAATTATCTAAATAACATTTATTCGAAAGATTTTGAATTTGTACTTTTTTAGATTCACATTCAGATTCATTTTGATTTAAAAAAGACCATAACTGCCTTGAATAATAAGGATTATCACAATGATTCTCATAACTCATACGACATTCAAACTCATTTTCACCTCCAAAAGTATCTAAATACTTTCCATTGCTGGAAATTCTATATTCTCCAAGATTTGTTGATTCTTCAATAAACCATCTTTGCCTCGAATAATTGGAATCATTTCGGTCATAAGAATTTCCACATAGAGTAACATACGACCCATAATTTGCTCCCCCATTATCTAGATAATGTCCATCGTTTATTATCTTATAAGGAATACCTGTAATAATTTCCAAATCATCACCACCGGTAATGTTTACTGAATTGTTAGGAATTAATGTATCCATTTTGTAAAGTACAACAGTAGTAGGTTGACTGACTGTTGTAAAGTAGTAAAGTACGTAGTGGGCTAACGGCGTTAGTGTTTACTGTAAATCCGCTTTTAAAAGCATTTGCGTCATACAAAATTATTACAACACTAACCAAATATAAACAATGTGTAATATTGATTCATGCTGTAAAACCGTTAGATCCGGTTTTATTACTTTTTTTATGAACAATATTAAATATTGTTTACAGGAAGGATCACCAAAATTCCGGGTAGGATGCATTGGAACTAGGCCAGCACTAAGCAATATTAGACAATTAAGGTAGCTGCGCAGCGCATGACACCGCACAGGACTAGTACGATCACTTCCCTATAAAAAATTTTCGATAATTGTATCCCGACTTTCTTTCAGGTTATCGCTCCATTATCGTTCCGAAAAATGCTCATTTCTCGAACAAAACATATACAAATTCCTGATCATTTCCATAGAATCCTGATAAATTCCGGGTAAAAATCAAATCTGGATAAGATTCGGCTTCTAATTACGTACGTATAATGAAGTACAAAAGATTAGAAACTGGATCTTACCTGGATTTGATTCCTACCCGAAAATTACTGGAATTCTATGGAAATGATCAGGAATTTGTATATGTTTTGTTCCACAAAATGAGCATTTTCTGGAACGATAATGGAACGATAATCTGGAGAAAGTCGGGATCAGTGTTAAATATCTGAAAATTTTTTTTGGTTCTTTGAGAACATAAATTGATAATTTTATGTTCTCATAAACACTTTA